TGATAGCTACCTACGTGGCTAAATAGTACGGAGTAGTAAATCTCTGCACTTGGCTAAATAAACCTAATCTTGCTTTGGGACATCAAAAAATACCAATAGAATTGATTTCTTTTCATTGTGGATTTGTGGACTCTGAGCACAAGTCAGGGCCACCAACCACTAAACATTTTACTTGAAGTTAAAAGATAATTGTTTTTTTTTTTTTTTTTTTTTTTTTTTTTTTTGACGCAAGATAATTGATTATTGTTGGACATGAATCACATGATTGTACTTTCTTTATCTCATTTGGAGTACTCCGTAATACATAGGCTTAACCTTTTTTTTTCCCCTTGTTAAAGGAAAATGGTTTAACTTTTTCCACTGTTTATTACTTTCTCCATTCCTCACTTCATAATTTCATTATACTTCTCTCGTTTCTTTTTATAGTCTTATTATATAGTCATGTGTTATATTGTTAAATTTGTTTCGATATGTAGTTTTATAATATCAAGACTTAATAATTTTTGGTAATATGTAACTAAAAATATTTATGGTAAAAGGATCATCTTAAGGACCATGCATAGTCAAAATGAGAATATAAAAAAGAAATGGAGGAAGTAAGACTTTTACATTACTTTTTCATATTAACTTTGACCTTGACTAATATGTAACATTAAAAACTGTTAACTAATTGATTTTGGGTTAATCTATGTGTAGTATATGATAAAAATATACTTGTGTATTTTTATGATTTTTATTGAAATTTAATTAAAGATATTTAAAGTATATCAAGCTCATTAGCATTTAGCACACGTGCAAGGTAAAAGTGATGTAACTATTATGAAAGTACAGAGTAACTTGACTATTTTTACTAACTTATTTTTTTTTTTAAGGTTATGACTATTTTACCAACTAATACTATATTACACCTATTTGAAAATATGACAGTCATACAATGTAAAATATTTAGTTAAAATTGATGATATGCAGATTAATTCGAACAGTCATACTATGCAAAAACTTCGTATGATTCAATTATTTCATAACTTTACTTTGTGTTGTTCATTCTATTCTATTTCATGGAAACCAACTGGAAATTTTTGATTTGTATTCGAAAGTGACTTCACAAGTGAGCCCCGGCCAGTAAAAAGTGGAGCTCATTATAATTAATATTACACAGTAATAATTCGACCATAATTCTAATTATTCCATCTTCTCATTCTCAACTCATTGAATGGTGGTGTTGGGTGGTGGTGCTAGGTGGTTTCCGTGCTGCTGGGTGGTGGTGGTTGGTGGTTTCGGTGTGCTGGGTGGTGCTAGTGGCGGTAGGTTATTTAGTTTAATTTTAGTTGTTTTTTTTTTTGGTTTGATTAATACTTAAATATATGCCCTTATTTTTCACTAACTACACTTAAGATCTTTTGTCTAGGAGTCCACAAAACACCTTTTTGTTGCGAGTAACAAGAACCAGAGGTAGTATATAAACACTTCATTTCTTTCTTGTTCTATTCATGTGGGATAAAACCACATACATAACATTAATACTTTTTTTTTTTTTTTACAACTAACATTATTGTTGGAAATTAATTCCAACACCTACTTGACTACTTCCACAAATTTTATAGGAAACATTATTATGCACTACAAGAAAACAGCTGAATTCCGACAGACTTTTTCCGTCGGAAACAGGGGAAAATCCGTCGGAAAACGGCATACCGACGGAATTCCGTCGGAAACGGTCTCTCGGAACAGCCCTTGTCGGAAATTCGACGTTTTCCGAGGGAAATTCCGTCGGAAGCCACTTTTCCGACGGAATTCGTTCTGTCGAAGCTGGTTTTGACTTTAACCGAAATTTCGTCGCAAAGTTCCGACGGAATTTTCCGTCGTTGCTGAAGTGGATTCCGACGGAATATTCCGTCGGAAGGGGAATATTCCGACGAAAATTTCCGTCGGAATATACTGTTTCCGACGGAAATTTCCATCGGAAAATTGAATACAAAAAAAAAAAAAAAAAAGCCAACCCCTACCACCACCAGCCCAGCCCACCACCCCCTGCCCCCTGCCACCTACCCCCTGCCCCTACCCCCTACCACCTTAACCCACCTACCCTCTGCCCTGCCCCCAGCCCACCACCCCCTGCCCCCTGCCCTGCCTCCTGCCATCCTCGTCACCAGCCATCGCCCATTGCCCACCCACCAAGCCACCACCATCCCCCACCCTCACCCCCCACCAGCAACGAAACCCCCGCCCACAGTCGCTGAAACCCTCGCCGTCCAACCAACGTGTCAGACCCAAGCCCAAACACCGCCCAACCACGACCACCCTTTTATGTCATTGCCACATTCAATCAAGCACATTTCCATGGCAGATGTTTTACCTTGTTGAGGAACATCTTAACCCACCTCCCCACCTAACCGAAACCACCCAAAAGAACACCGAAACCCACCTCACCACCACCGAAACCACCCAAAAGAACACCGAAACCCACCTCACCACCACCAAAACAACCACCAAAAACACAAAAAAAAACATAAAAAACATTCATACTTCACCAACACCATATATTGCAAAAAAACCAGAAAATTCAACAAATTAATTAAAATCAAAATTTAGAAGAAAAAAAAGAGAAACATACCTTAATTTGAACAAAAAAAAAAGGTCGAAATTGGGTTTATAAGGTCAAATTCGACCATCTAGAGTTTTCATGGTCGAATCTGACATGAAAACCTTGATTTTCATGAGTTGCCATTGAATTTCTTGAAATTATCTTCGATTGCCAAAGAAAACGAAAAAAAAAAGAAAGAGGGGAAGAGGAAAGAGAAACAGGGAAGAGGAGAGGAAGGAGAAAGAAGGGAAGAAAAAGGTTGCGTGCGCCGGAAATTCAAAGGAGAAGGGAGGAAAGGAAGGAGAAAGAGGGGAAGAGGAAAGAAGAGAGGAGAGAGAAATAGAAGGGAGGCGGGGAGAGAGAAAGAGTGTATGGGTTAGGGTTTTCTTAGGTTTTAAAGAGAGTTTTTTTTTTTAAAGGGTTTGTTTTTTTTATTATTATTTAATTATTTCCGACGAAATATTCCGTCGGAAATTTAAGTTTCCGACGGAATATTCCGTCGGAAATTTCCGACGGATTTTAATTCTGTCGGAAAATTAATATTTCGACGGAATATTCCGTCGGAAACTTCCGACGGATTTTGTTTCCGTCAGAATATACATTTTCCGACGAATAATTCCGTCGGAATGCCCATATATTCCGACGGATTTGTATTCCGTAGGAATTCCGTCGGAAATTTCCGACGGAATATAAATCCGCCGGAATTTATAGCATTTCCGACGGAATTTTGTATCCGTCGGAATCTGGCATTTTTCTTGTAGTGATGTTGGAAGTTAATTCCAATACCTACTTCTTCCACAATTATTTAGGAAACGAATTGAATGTGTACTGTGTAGGTGTGTAGGCAAGGTAGGAATAGTCCAAGCTAAGAGAAAGGATGGTCAATTTGAGGGTAATTTTAACAATTTTTATAATGATTTTTTAACCCATTAAAGATAACTTTTACAAGTAATTTGTAATGAATTTGATTGTATTTCTATGTGTATTTTTAAAGACTAATATGATTAATATAATACATTATGAGTATTTTTAAAGGGCATAAGTTATATAAAAAAAATAGTGATTTTAATACTGTAATATATAAGGGTTATTTTAAGTACTTTAGGATAAATTGAACTTGTCTTATACTTCTTCCGTTCTTTTAGTTACATTACTTATATAATTGCGGACTCCTATGAAATTTTTAGAGTCAAAAGAGATATAGAGAAAGAATTAAGATGACTCTTGTGATAAGAGAGAATTTATTAACTAAAAGGAAAAGTGAATATTTAAATTGAAACTTTCATTTTTAGAAATTGCATCTAATAAAAAATCGAGGAAGGATAAGTTCATGAAAGTTGATTTTAATGAAAAGTTTGTAAAACTTGCAATAATTGAGATTACACAAGTGGTTGTGTACTATGTACTGCGGGTGACTAAGTGCCATGAAGCTGCGATGCCTTATCTAATCGGAGCCCCACTCTACAATCAATCATGCCTCTTTCCTCTTCTTCAGCTTTTTCTTTTCTTTAATCGTATTTTGATTCTTTAATATTCAAACTAGCTTAAATTCTATACAATGTACGATTTTACCGTATTTATAATTTAGCAAAAGTTTACAAATTATTCTCTTACTCCCTTTGTATTTTATTACTTGTTTCATTTCTATATTTTACACTATATATTTGACTGACTTTAACTAATGTTTGTGATTTATATATAAGAAAAAATATAGTCCTGTGGGTACTGATTGGAATCGTTTCAATGAATAGATTATTAATTTTTAATTGTTAGAATTTACACGTATTGATAATTAAAGATATTATTGACCAAAGATTTGCATCGGCATACGTGCCCAAGAGAAATGGAGCAAGTAATAAAATACGGAGGGGTATAAAAAGTGTGATAAAGGTCTATATTCTATAAAATTTTCTAAATAATAATCCCTTGGTGTTTATTGTATGAAACGTTTCCCTTATGCACGTATGTCAATGCAATACTTTGACTAATAATTTTTTTAATTATCAACAAGTAAATTATGTAACATGAATATTAATAAACTATTCATTGAGACAAATTCAAAAAGTACTCATAAGACTATATTTATTCTTATGTATAAATAAAAAACATTAGTCAAAGTAATTGCTTAATCACAAAAAGTTAATTTTTTTTTTAAACGAATTTTCTTTTCATACTACCTTCATTATTTTTTTAATTATTTTTGTTTAACTCAGTTAACGTAGATACTTTGTAATTTGAAGACATTATGATAAAAGTGCTACTTCGAATATAAGAAGAAAAAAAGGACAAAGTAAAAGAAATAAAGTTATTCAAACATATGCGAACAACCTTACAAGTTACTGCTTTGAATTGATTGTATGATTCAATAATTGCATACACTTAATATTCACATGTCAATTTACATCGTCCAATAATGAAGTGAGCCCCAGCAGTAAACAAGTGGAGCTGATTATATATGTTTGGTAGTGGTGAAGTACATATTCCTTATTCAAATTACAGCTTCCTTCTAAATCTTCCCATCTCTTCATTCTCTTCTCTTTGAAATCTTCAATGGCCGAACTCGGAATCATCGTTGCTGAAAAGCTCATTGAAGTTATTGGGTCTGCGATCATCAAAGAGATTTGTGACATGTGGGGATACAAATCTCAACTCGAAGACCTCAACAAAACTGTCTCAACCATCAAGAATGTGCTCCTTGATGCTGACTCCAAGCGTGAACTCTCCCACGCAACACGAGGCTATATCGAGGACCTCAAGGCTGCTGTTTATGATGCTGATGATCTGTTCGATGAGTTCTTCACTCTTGCTGAGCTCAAGCTGCTTGATGCCAACAGGGATGATAAATTCCTTAGAAAGGTACGCCGCTTTTTTTTTGGTAAGAAAAGGGAGGTGAGTCAAGCTCATAGGATGTCTCGTCAGGTTAAGGACATTAAGGAGCAGTTGGATACTATTGTCAGTAACCATCACAAATTCGGGCTTAGTGTGGACTATAAGCCTATTTGTAGAAGGAGGGAGGAAACTTGTTCCTACGTGGATACAGGGGATATTATTGGGAGGGAGGATGATAAAAAGGTTGTCATTAATATGTTGTTAAGTCCGAGCGATGTTCATGATAGTATTCGTTTTGTGACTATTGTTGGAGTTGGAGGATTGGGTAAAACTGCTCTTGCCCAGCTTGTGTATAACGATGAAAGGGTTGTAGCAGAGTTTTCGGATTCCAATTTGAGATTATGGGTTTGTGTGCCCGATCAAGATGGGGAGCAGTTTGATGTCAAGGTCATTCTTTGCAAAATTCTAGAATTAGTTTCTGGTAAAAGGCCTGACGATACCTCCTCAATGGAGTTGGTGCAAAAGCAATTTCATGAGCAGCTAAGAGGAAAGAAGTACTTGCTTGTTCTTGATGATGTATGGAATGAAAATCGTGAGAAATGGCGTGATCTGTACAAGTTCTTAACGACGGGTCAAGAGGGTAGTCGGATTGTGGTGACTACACGTTCGGAGAGGACTGCAGAGATTATTGGAGAGAAACATACGCACAAGCTGCAAGGTTTATCTGAAGAGAATTCGTGGCTCTTGTTCGAGTCTGTAGCATTTGATAAAGGGGAACACAAGCACGCAAGTCATCCTGATTTGGTTGATATTGGGAAGAAGATTGTTGAAAAATGCTACAATATCCCGCTTGCTATAAAGGTGGTAGGAAGCCTTCTATTTGGGCAGCCTGTGAATAAGTGGCAGACATTTGAGCACAGCGGATTTGCTGGAATTGGAAAAGGTGATAATGAAAATATGTCTATACTAAAACTTAGTTATCACAACCTTAGACCCTCTTTGAAGAATTGTTTTAGCTATTGTGCACTGTTTCCCAAAGATTTTAGACTCAAGAGGAAGGAGTTGATTAGCCTTTGGATAGCACAAGGCTACATTGCGTCGCTGGACAGAGATCAAAGCATAGAAGATGCAGCAGAGGAGCATTTCATGATTTTGGTACGCAGATGTTTCTTTCAGGATGTAGCAAAGGATAGATATGGTGATATTGGGTCTGTGAAAATCCATGACTTGATGCATGATGTTGCTCTAGAAGTGGGGAGGGAGGAAATAGGCATGGTGAGTTCTAATACAATCAAATTGGGTGATAAAGTTCGTCATGTGTATTTTGCTCCTGGTACTTTTTCACAAAGTTACTTATTTAAGAGTAAGATACGTTCGTTGATTTCAAGGGGTGATAATTGCTGGTGGTCCCGTCAGCTGATGTTGGGTGATCCGGTGGATGCACAGATTGATAGTTGGATTGGTCTAAGGGTGTTGTGCTTGCAGTCAATGGATATAAAAAGGTTTGATTCGATTGGTAAGCTACTGCATTTAAGGTATCTTGACTTGTCTGTGAATCATCGGTTACAGGCACTCTCTGATTCTATTACTAGACTACATAATCTGCAGACTTTAGTTTTAAATTCTTGCAAATGTTTGAGGGAGTTGCCAAAAGATTTTAGCAAATTGGTAAAACTTAGGTACTTGGATTTAAGCGGTTGTTTTAATTTGAGCGGTATGCCTTCGGGCATGGATAAATTAATAAGTCTTAGGCCCTTTTATTTAAGTAGATGTTCAAAGTTAACTAGTATGCCATCAGGCATGGGTAAGTTGACTAATCTTAGGTACTTGAATATAAGCTATTGTTATGAGCTGAGTAGTTTGCCTTCGGGCATGGGTAAGTTGACTAGTCTTAGATACTTGAATATAAGTTATTGTCATGAGTTGAGTAGTTTGCCTTCGGGCATGGATATGTTGACAAGTCTTAGACACTTTGATTTAAGTGCTTTTCCAAAGTTAACTAGTATGGCATTAGGCATGGGTAAGTTGACTAATCTTAGGGTGCTACCATTGTTTGTGGTGGGTATGGAAAAGAGAGTTTCAACAGAGGAGCAATGTATGGGAGAGCTCAAAGACCTTAAACCCCTGACCAACTTTTACAAGAATGATGGAGGAGAAGAGTATTTGAAGGGTTTGAAATATCTCACTCAGGTTAAAATAAGATTTGTTGACAATGCTGATGAAGATGATGGATGTTTAGAGTGGGAAGATGTGATGGAAAAGCTAGAGCCACCTTCAAATCTCAAGATATTCACGACAATTCCAAGGTGGGGTAGAGCACTGGATAACTGGGCACTCTCCCTCCCACTTCTTGTCAAGATCGAGCTTTATCGTTGTATCAACTTGGAGCAATTACCATCGTTGAGTAAACTGCGTAATCTGAAATCACTAACAGTTCATTTTCTAGAAAAGCTGGAATATATGGAGAATACAAGCAGCAACAATGCCAATGACGGAGAAGATTTAACGGCATTCTTCCCCTCCCTTGAGTCTCTTAGTATTTGTAATCTTACAAGTTTGAAAGGATGGTGGAGGGAGGAGGAGTTGGTTGAGGATGATGATGATGATTGTATCTTGAGGAGTAGCTTCACATTTCCTCGTCTTTCCAAATTGGAAATCATTAATTGCCCGAAGTTAACTTCGTTTCCTTCCTGTGGAAGCCTCGAAGATCTGGGCTTGGATGAGGTTGACTGTTTTGGAAATTCACAAGGTGACGTCATATTGAGGGAGCTGCTTACAGATGACGTGGGTCTTCTCAACTTAATAAACTCTCCAGTCAATAAACTCCGCATATGCCGGAATAAGAAGGTGGAGAGTTTATCAGAATATGGGGATGTATTCCGGAAATACAAATACACTTCTTACCTAAGAAGCCTTCGAATTTCTGATTGCTCAAATTTGAGGAGACTTGGAAGAGGGGGGTTGGAGCATCTCACTGCCTTGGAGTCATTAGAGTTTAAAGACAATGATAAACTTAGCTTCTCTGAAGACGAGGACGATGATGACGGCATGCCTTGGAAATCCCTCCAACACTGTCTTCGTTACCTGTATATTCAATTTTGCAAGGCCATTAAATCACTTCCTGAATCAATGCGGAACCTTGCCTCCCTTCAGAACCTTGAGATAGTTGGATGTCCAGAACTAGAAAAAAGATGCACAGTACCAGATGGGGAGGACTTGCCCAAGATTCAACACATCCCCCACAGAACTAGTAGAATCAGATCGGGGTCCTCAACCTTCAAGTTAGAATTCTGAGTCACTTTTCTGTTTAGTTTTGAAGCACTACGTGTTGTTTTCCATTCAACTATCTACGCTTGTATGCTTGTGCAGAATATACTACTCGTACTTATATAGTGTACTGTAATTAATTGCAGGTGAAGGCGTAAATAAATTTTTTCTTGAAGCATGAAGTTGATATCAAAATTTCATTATCATAATTCATAATTAAAAGGTATTTTGATCATTTATCTTTGGAATGTTGATTCAGATTTACGATGTAGCTATGGACGGTCTGCAGGAAGCTGCTGTGAGATTTGATGTGGATGACTGCAAGACTTGGTTTGACAGAGTGAATTGCAAAAATATCTTTCAAGAACGTATTTGACTTAAGATCATGTAAATACTTCATAGTCTGCGCCTCTGCAGTGCTTGTTAATTTCAAATAATGTATTGTAAAAGAAAAATATACAGATGACTCTTTTAGACATGTAAGCACGGCAATGCAACATTTAGTATCGTTTGTATCTCAATTTTCTCCTTAACAGAGTAATCACTGAATGAAAAACTCCGAGTTTATATAATAGTGAGATTATTTCCTAAAATACTTGCGTTACAATGTTACATACATTTTGTCACGAAAGGTTTGGTCATTAGTTCATCACAAATCTTGGAGTTCATCTCAAATCTTGGAGTTCATCACAAATCTTGTATTGTTTTGAGTTAACAATGTTCTCACTTTCAAGAGTAGAGATCGAAGTCCTCGAACAACCATTCTAACAAAATGTGCTGTCGCTTGCTCAGAACAAAGTATCATGAGAATTTAAACCTCTTACACATAAAACTAAATTCACCCGATGTAGCCATTTTTCAAGCAGCAGCCTAGGAGGATAAGAAGGAAAGAGCAATTGTTGGAAACTGATAATTATAACATCCAAAGTCCCAGTATAGTGGAATGCAGTAAGAAACGATTAAGAAAACGGGGGTAATAAAATAATATGGGTCATATATTACAGAACGGCTAAAGCGAGTGTAATTGTTATTTTGAAATGGAGTATATCAGTCATGCCAAGGAGAAAACTTTATACACAGCTGTCAGTGAGTGTAGTTCTTGCAACAGATCAATTCTGACATGCTATTTAATAGGTAGTACGAGTAGGTGAAATTGGAAGAGTGCAATCCTCCACAGAATTGTGATTCAGAGTCTTGGGTCTTCTGAAAGAAAATACCTCACATAATTCATCTTTGAAGCTGGAACCTTTAGCTTCAGCATGCTCGGCATAAGATGCATAAGCTTTGATAATAGACACATATATGTCGACTCCTTTTAGATATTCTGCTTGATTTAAAAGCTGCAACAGGGAAAATGTGTCAGAAATATCGAGTATTCCAACTGCTTGTAAAGGAGACCATAAGATATACTCCGTAGAAGTTAGTACAATTCGTGACTGCTAAAAGCAACTGATAAACCAGCCTTGGATTCCAAAACAGAAGTTACAGAACCCAACAGATGGAAAGAAAGGCAAGTATTGGTGGAATGGTGGGTCTTTATGCTAGCAACCTAGCACATTGAGAAAGTTCAAAATGTTAAAACTTTAACTGCTTTTCTAGTGTCTGATATCTACTGGGTGCACCAGAATATGTCATCTTACATTTTACTATAGGGTGTAACTCCTTATTCCTAAACTAGTGGATACGCTAGAACCCATGTCTGTATACTCCTCTTGTAGGATATGATTTCCCATAATTGTGTGTGTGTGAGAGTAAAAATCAATTTTGGAGTGTAAAAATCAACTCCCTCTTGTATTTGTATTGTATCGGCATAAGTGAATCCTATAAACCCACCCACTGGCTCACTGCTCACACGACCTTCAAAAAGAAGAGATAATAAATATATTCCATCAATGAGAACACTAGAATTACAAGTTGGTAAGATTAATTCCAGATATAGTGACCATAGCCAGGGTTCAGATATAGTGACCATTTTCCTTCCAGATTGAGTTATTTAGAGAGTAGCGTGGTGGCAGTTGGGTCTAATTCTTTTTGAGTATAGAAGCTCCTCCAGCACTAACCCCCTACATACAGATTATGAGATGGAGACAGTTTGTCATCCCTTCCCACTCAAATACATACAGATGTCAAACAGACCGAGCCCATAATAAGATTATAAGAGAATCCAAAGAGGGGAAGCCAGATCTTTAATCTTTCAGGTTTTAAGACCTAGGATGACTAGTTCATAACAACAATAAAATTGGGTTCTCAATATGATTATATGATCATGGGATTGAGTCCAGGCATGGATTTCTTATCAACAGTCTCAGAAACTGAATTTCGTACAACTAGACAAAAGTAGATTAGGTCCATGCGATACAAGGAAGAGAATAAGAATTAAGGCAAGAATATTCTGTACCTCATTGTGGTCATGTAGTAGAATTGGAGTATTTTCCATAGGAGAGAAACCTATAGCAGGTAGACCTTGTCGCCTAAAGTAACAACAATCTGTAGAAGCAGGGAAAATTTCTGGCTTTTCAAGCTCTCCACCAGCACTGCGAACAGCCTCTTCTAAAAGGGCCCACCAGGGGTTCGAATTGTCAGAAGCAGTGACAGCTGGGTTACCGAAGTTGTCAAGCACAGATTGCTTCTGCTTAAACTGCCCATACTACACATATGACATATATTAGTCAACTGGCATAAGGAAGATAAATCAGATAATTACACTATTTCATCTTCCATATCCTTGGCCTTGTTTGGTAAAGAGAAAATGATAATAGACATCATTAGTAATATAAACACAAATTGAAGCACATGGCATTACTTTATTCAGCTAACAGATAACAGCAGTAGATTCTGTAGAAAATTTTCTGCAAGTAGCCATATAATTAACAAGTACTACTACATAAAATTTTAAGCATGTAAAATATCATACAAGGAAATAAACGTACATAATTGTAGGTTGAGCATGACATAATTTTTTGAGGAAGAAGCAAGTCAAACTTTTGAGTACCTTTCCATCAGAATATATATAGTAATTTTACTAACATTAGGCAAATTTGTCTCTGCACTTTGAAATCACAGCCTAAGCCATAGAAATGCTGAAAGGAACAGCATTTTGGAAATTTTATTAAGTTTGGTACAGTCAATTAACAACAGCATAGTTAGTTAGTCAGATTCACTGTAGTGATTCAAATCTACTTCAATTGTCGAATCTACGATTGGCTAGAGAACCCTAATACAACTGTAGCATCTACAGTATAAGTTGGGCAACTTAGGAAATCTAATTCAGTCATTTGATTTACTCTCAATGGATTCTAAATCTAGAATTGTTGAGAAGTGGGACTTTTTCCATTTGTATGTCCTTAATACACTACATTCAGGGGAGTTTGAAATCTAGGAAGAATAATCTAGAGGACAAATATTGAATTTGATCTCTTCCCATGCTATGATTGTTGAGTGTAAGCATTCTAAGAACCAAAAGGATGGATAAACTAGAACAAGCATTTGCAATCATCAAAGAAAATCCCATTTTTCCTCCAACTTCCTTAGATGAAGACTGCGTAGAGGAAGACCCAGAGTCACCATCCCCGCAGGCATTTATTAATCATAGCTCACGACTCATGGCTATCTATGTGACTAGTCATCAAATTGTTGGGAATATTAATGAGATTTTGTCAAACTAATAAACATAAAATACACATCACATATAATTCTTCAAGAAATTGGGAGGGGAAGGGGCACTAGGTTGGGAATATTATATGATTATCACGTAAACTGATAGAAGAGTCCTTCAGACAAGAAATTTTAACCTCAAATGTCATGTTACGTGAAGCAGGAGCCCACTCCTCAGCGATACGCCTTACAAGGGCTTCTTGATCAGCTGTTGGTGGAACCCGAATATCAAACCTGCTTCAGCTTCAGAAGGTTGCAAGTTCATGACAAACCCTGAAAGAAAAAAAAACTCCATGTTAGAACTTAAACTAAGGCATAAGACATCATCATCACTCATCCCACTATCAAGTACCATATTGATAATTAACCATTATCTGTCCCATCTCCCTGACCTTCACCAGAAATCAGGCCCTGGAACAAGCATGATTCAACAAGCAAATTGATAACTGGGATGAAAAGGCAACCTTTGCTGTGTACAATTGGTACATAACTGAAAGTCTCACTATGAACTAACAGGCATGATTCCAGCATGGTGGAGAAAGTCACCTATTTGTTTTCAAACAGATTATGTAACTTTATGTCTACTTTTAAGATTTTCCTAGATTGGCACTAGTAGTTTCTACCACACGTTTCTTTGCTCAATCCAAAGCTTTCAGAAATGAAGAAAGAAGATAAGAGGACAACAGGACTCGAGAGCAGAACGAAATATGCAACATGGAAGCTGCTTCTACTACTGACTACAGTACATAAAGCCTGGAGAAAATCAGGGCAGAGACTTACAGTTGGAGTTCGAGTGCCAGCTTTCAGAAACGCCATATTCACCGAAACCACTTCTCCTTCAGCTTTCAAGCCAGACTTCACAATATCAAATTACGACACTCGATATCTTCTTATGATCTCAATACTCTTTAACAAATTCTCCATTGCTGTATTATCATACAACTTAGCGCCATGTCCAGGAGCTCCTGTAGCCTTGATCACTGTCCACATTGGTGATCTCTCTGCATAAAATGCCCGGTACTTCTCTCCTGGTGATGCAAGTCCTTCATCCAGAACAAAGGCCACATTCATTTTTTTATATAAATCAAACTCAGCCAACTTTTCCACCCCATCATGCCCTCCAATCTCTTCATCCGGCACAAAGGTCAAATAAATGGTACGAGTGGGCTCAAACCCAGAATCCTTCAGCTTCCGAATAGCTTCCAAATACTGTAAACCCACACATTTCATATCCTACACAGCCAACAAAAGTCCCACACAAGATAATCAGCCATCTACAGAGTATACAACAATAATACCTATGCACCTTTATAAGCTCCCATCCTTAACAAGTTTAAGGAGTGACATGTACACAGCTTTACCCTATGATTATAAAGACTTAAAGAGGCGGTATTCAATTGACCAATACAGATATACAGATATGCAGCAGGTTATTGTTACCTTACAACAAATTCTACATGCAGTATAACCATTATAACTCAAAGGACAAAAATTTTGACTTCACAACTATAGGCTTGCAAGTATTTCATCACAATTCATAGCCATACAAGAATGACTAAAAAAACAAGATACATCATCTTGGACTTGGCAAATTTCAATTCTATTACAATAAACAGATTTTCATTGCAAAATACAGTACTTTCTCTACTACCCACCTCTTCCTATATCAAATACACAATCCCTTCTTTATGATCAACTCCACCGCCCTCAATTTCAAGCCATTATACCTCTTCCAACCAGAATTAATAATCATGTCGATAGTATAATTTGAACTAGTAATGCGACAACTATATCCGGACAAAGGTAGTATAAAAATCATGCCAGCAAGGAAAGCAAAGAGTCAAAATTGATAAAACCATAGTCACTGTGGAGTATAAAGTATGAATTATACAAAGTTCATCTCCACAAAATACCCAATAATAGTACTACTTCGTATATA